CTCCCATGCAAGGCCGTCACCGGTGCACTGGTTCTCTTTGTCTGTAGGCGGCTTGGACTCCAGCTTGGTTGCTGCCACTCTGCTGAAGCATCTAAAAGAGGCCCAAGTACAGTATCCCCTGCAGACGTTCGCCATCGGCATGGAGGACAGTCCTGATTTGCTGGCTGCTAGAAAAGTAAGAAGCTGTCTTTGCACATCGTAGAGTTAGAGCAGACTTGTCAGTAGGATGGACACCAAGTCAGTGAGTGGCGATCCTATTTTGCCTGTTACATTGATTCCAGCGGTTGTTTCAAAATCAGTACAGTAAAAGGGAATGAAATGCCTTTTGAGTATCCGCTGTGTCCTACGACCTTTTTATCATCGTGACCCATACAGTAATCACAAAAAAAGCGTAACATTAATCCTGTGCTTAGAGTCAAGGTATGGTGTACTTTTAAGGTCTCAGTCTTTGGGGTTTTAAGTCCAGGATTTGCCGCACAAGGCCTCACTTACATAAGAGCAGTGACAGTGTGTATGGTTTCATAATTTGACTGAAAATGTGTAACTCTTCTGAAGTGTGAAAGATAAACCCGAGCAAGTGGTAAGTTTTTAGTGTAAGATGATTTATTTACTTATTTTATATAAAGTGTGTATTTAGAGCTGTGCAGAGGGGGACCTCATATACAAGAGTGTTGGAGGTCTGCTTCTTGCTCTAAGACTCCAGAGTGAATGAACATTAGCTGGAGAGCAGTCTGAATGCAAATTTATTGGCATTAAAAGATTTTCTCAAAAACTGAAGGAAAGTAGCAGCACGCAAGAGCTATTGCATGCAGGAATAACATCCTGGATGTAACATTCGACAGAGTGCAGGCCTGATGCTGTAGAGGGTGGTGAGGAAGGTTAGGTGACATAGATGGGGAGAGCGTGCTAGTTGGGAGCCTCAGCTTTATTAGGTACCATAGCAGCCTGGGGATCGGAAGAGCTCACTGGAGACAGTACTTCTTGCAGCTGAGTGGCACAGGGCAGGCAGGCGAGGCCCTGGGAGGGGCAGCTGGTGTGTGGCCTCCTAGAGAAGACCTTTCCTCTGTCTTTTGCCCTGTTTAGTTTTTGCTATTAATTCCCAGACCCCATGAACTGCTATTCTGTTTCATGTAGAAGGAAGTCCTTTTCTTTCAGTACTGAGTATCTGGAGTTTTCTTTGTGTAATCAGGTGGCAAACCATATTGGAAGTGAACATCATGAAGTCCTCTTTAA